TTACCACAGTTATGTACGTTATGTTTTTAGATAAAACAGTATTACCACAGTTATGTACGTTATGTAAAACAGTATTACCACCTCACTTGTATGTGTTTAGAATGTGTTTATGTTCTTTGTTGATGTGTCTCAGACTTTAATACTATCTCTATGACTGACAATTTATCTGGTAACGTATAACAACATAGAATTGTAAGTTTAACATAAGATTTCTTATCTATTTACAAACTGTTTTATATTCGTAAATACAAACATTTTATTATTTTGATAAACTAGATTCATAAAAAATATGGCATTACATGACGTAGAATTTGTCTTGTATATTATATATTAAGTTTTATGGTGTTAGAAATATTTCAATGTTTTTATCTAAAATATTTTATTAAGCCTTGTTACAATGTATGCATGGACTATATCCCAAGTAACTTGCTAGAACAGTTACAAGTTGTTAGTTCAAGTAACTTGAGGTTGTAGTCTGTTCAAAAGCGCTGTTATCATGAGATCTATCAGTAGTAGATGACGTACACAACCAATCATACGCCTTAATCATCTTTGTAAAAATGTTTTTGGACATGTCATAATATAGAAATTATTAATCTTGGTTAACAATTAACATTTACAGATTGTTAAACTTATAAGCATTATCTAACACCATTGAAATAATTATAATGTTGACAATATCTTATCACTCTAAACTAGAGGGCAATATGAAACTCACCTAAACGAATGTTATTTTACCTAATTAAATATCTTGCTGAAACATGTATCATATTATAAACACCTAAACTAATGTTATTTTACCAGATTAAATATCTTGCTGAAACAAGTATCATATTATAAACATCTAAACTAATGTTATTTTACCTGATTAAATATCTTGCTAAAACATGTATCATATTATAAACACCTAAACTAATGCTATTTTACCTGATTAAATATCTTGCTGAAACATGTATCATATTATAAACATCTAAACTAATATTATTTTACCTGATTAAATATCTTGCTAAAACATGTATCATATTATAAACATCTAAACTAATGTTATTTTACCTGATTAAATATCTTGCTAAAACAAGTTTCATATTATAAACACCTAAACTAATGTTATTTTACCTGATTAAATATCTTGCTAAAACAAGTATCATATTATAAACACCTAAACTAATGTTATTTTTACCTGATTAAATATCTTGCTGAAACAAGTATTATATTATAAACACCTAAACCAATGTTTTCTTCTTGATTCCCAGTGGGACTTGGTGTGTGAGAAGAATCATCTCCCTCACCTAATTTTCACATTATCCAGTATAGGGGGAGCTATTGGGACTCCCTTATATGGTGCTCTGTCGGACAGGTAAGTTTAGTAACGTATCTCACCACAAACGTTAATCGAAAATATATAATTATTTCAGTGTAATAGAATTTTTGGTGTACAATAACGTTTAATAATTATAGTTTAACATAATGAATCCAATATGTGTAAAATATTTAATACTAGTGAAAGTATCCGGCTTCGCTAGGGTTATTAGGTTGATATATTCTAGATGACTTTGTTAGTGTATGTATTCTGAACCCATTTTAGCATAAAAGTATAACCTATATACTTTTGTCGCTCCTTTACTGGATGTTGTCTGTTTATAAAGGTAACCTTCCCTCTGACTTGTCCTCCGATTTTAAACTTAAATAATAAAATAGATAATTAAAAACAATCTTCTTTAATTAACGGAGCCTCTAAATTAGAAAACAACAAATATATTTTCAGTTTTGAAGTTTATACATTTCATTTTATACTTTCAACACATAGCCTCTTAACAACAATATTAGGTTGTACTTTTATCGCTAAACAACATGATATAAAGACATTGTTGGAACGCATTGTTGCCAAAACGCGCTGGCTTTTCTATAAATTAGATTGTTTGTTTGTTTGTTTTGAATTTCGCGCTAAAAGCTATCTGCGCTAGCCGTCCCTAATTTAGCAGTGTAAGACTAGAGGGAAGGCAGCTAGTCATCACCACCCACCGCCAACTTTTGGGCTACTCTTTTACCAACGAATAATGGGATTGACCGTCACTTATAACGCCCCCATGGCTGAAAGGGCGAGCATGTTTGGTGTGACAGGGATTCGAACCCACGACCCTCAGATTGCGAGTCGAGCCCCCAACCACCTGGCCATGCCGGGCTTCTATATATTAGAAGTTGTTATATAAGGAACCACTTATTTTCTATATGGTATTTCGCTAAACTGCCTCATTAAATAGATGCACATGCACGTAGATAAATAAGTAATAATACCCAGGTGCAAACCCTCAGAGTTCACTTAGTATGGGTGCATAATTTCAGGTTTATAGGTTCTTTGCTCTTGGTGCTGTTGGGTCACATATCTTTTCGTATATGATTTTTAGCTGGCTTGCCTCACAAAAGGATGTGCTCGCACATTCACGTACATAATTAATAATACCCAGGTACACACCCTCAGGATTCACTTAGTATGGGTGCAAAATTTCAGGTTTCTAGGTTCTTTACTCTTTGAGCTATGGCGGTCACATATTATTTTCTATGTGATTTCTCGCTGGCTTACTTCATAAAAAGATGCACACGCGCATGTGGATAAGTAATAATACCTAGTTTCACACCCTCAGGATCCACTTAGTATGTATGCAAAATTTCAGGTTTCTAGATTCTTTTCTTTTGGAGTTATGGCGGTCACAAACACACAGACACGCCCTTTTATCATTACAGATATAATATATTCAAGGAGGAAATGATTTGATACCTTAAGTATCTAACATAAAGACTTCTTTAAGGCATTTTATTTTGTCACACTGGTCCAATTAAAACAATGACGAACAGTTCTTGTATTGATTTGAATAACTTATACAAAATATTTCACTTTCCCAAACAGTACCGAATTTAGGTATAACTACCCACTTTTTAGAATACACAATCAAGTTGTTCTGTGTTACCAGACTGTTAATTGGCTCACTGATGAGACTATAAGACTATCAAGTAGTCAACTAAGACTTTCTGCATTACCATGGACTCTGCCTGCGTGGTATTTAATCTGATAAGGTTACTGATCCAGCTATCAACCTCATCTAGCCTATTGTCCCAAGTTACTTTAAGGCTACAACACAAGCACAAAGTAGAATGATTTATCCAAATCAATAATGATTGACCATATGAATATTGGTGAAAATTATGTAAAGCACTCATGACAGCTAACAGTTAGCTTCTAGTAGTATAATATGCTGTAATATACTATCGCCCTCTTCAGTCCTTGTTGTTTTCGTGATAGCACAGCTACTACTCCAAAGTTACTGGCATCTGTATCAATTCGATGTTCTGCAATGTAGGTACTGCTAGGACCGTTTGGTCCTTTCTAGAAAGTATCTGCACTACTTTTAAATATATGTTTCAATTCTTGCTGATGTATTGATACAAATACAATCAGCTTTGCCCATGCAGTTGTAGTCGGGGGTCTCCAGTTAATTTCATTGTCTGGGCTGACCAACACTTCTGTTGTTTTGGTGGTAGGTCCACAATCTCTACCATTTCACATTGTCCAATTTCTTGCTCATGCTTCAATTTCTGAGCACTATTTGAGAAAATTGTCACAACCATAGTAAAACATATTTTGTTTGGTGGCATCATAGCACGTCCAACCGATACTCAATCTGGTAATTTCGCATCAGGAACTGCCAGTTCCTTGAATCCAAAACCACAGGTGCCACAATAAATAATCATCTCAAAATCAGGGAGAATTGTCTCAGCTCTCTTTACTCCTACCTTGCCTCTTTTTATACATTTCTGGTGTAAACTCTTCTAAGTGAAACTTTTACCCATATTACTTCTATATGTACAGTATAGAATATCTGCATACTCATGGTATCTTGGATTTTCACACTAACCTGTTCAAATTCATTCAGTGGCATTCAGTGTGCAATTACTTCACCCAGTTTCTCTTCTCAATCTCAGAAATACCTCTTACCCAAGATTCTTGATTGTACTAATATCTGATTGGACCTTGTATTTACAATCATCTAACACTTGAGTCCATCAATCGATCAAACTCTCCTGCTACTTATATGCATAAACAAAAGTCTGTTCCTTTCCACTCTTCATGGATGAGGCTTGTCTAACAATGATTAGTCTAGACCCAAAAAAGAAGTCCTCAAAAGTTTAACTGTTTCTCTGGTACATTCAGCTTCTTGTCGAACCAACACTTGTTCCTGTAATAAACCCTTTTCTCACAATAATAACATTCAATATTTTTCCTACTCTTAGTTGTGTTTTCTGCTTTTCCTATTCCAAATGACTAAATAAGTATATTTTCCTCTAGCTGACTAAAATTCATTCTCCATAAATTTGTATACTTGTGTTGCCATTTTTCCTATTTTGTTTTCAAAATTATCAATAAACCTCTTCCATGGTTACTGGTTTCTAGTGTTTATGCTGTAAAATGCTTCCTGTTGTCACCACTAACCAATTTATGTTCTTGGCTATAGCTTACAGTTGATACCATGCATGCTCCCATTTCCAATACATGTGCTAAAACTCTTGGACAGCCTGAAGCTAAGCTTGTTTAATATGTATTTTTAATTTAATGTCATCTATATCACCAATGCTCTGATCCCGTAACAACACTTGCAACGGGCAAGCTTCTTGTTGTAGTGTCTTCTAGTTATGTCTTACCCTTTTCCTAAAATGGACTCGACATGCCTATTTCTGATATATAGCCCCAAACCTTTGCTCTAAACATATAGTCAGAGATATGTAGTCCTCCTGGAGATGTATGGGCAGGTGTTCCAAGACTTCTAAAATGTTCCATTCCGCCGCTATGTTTCAAGCTGAATCACGCTCTATTCTTATGACTCATCATTACCTATAGCCAACAATTGGAATTGGGAGAAATATACTTCCCACGGAACTGATCCATTAAACTCCTGGGGTTGTTTTTGCACCTTAATTATACTTTGATCCTATGTGTAGGAAGGTTGCGCAAAAGTGCTAAAAAATCCAAAAGTATCCTGCAAGGCCTTTTCTTTCTTTCGTGGGTGATATGAACTGTTTGGAGAATGTTGAAATATTATCTATTCAGATAGAGATTGTATCACTAGATTTGCCTACTCTTTACTCTACTTCCCTCACTTCTGCATCACAATCCTGCCTATATATTCTATCACCTAGAGAAAATAAGATTTCAGTTTTCTGTTGTGCTTGTTTTGCTAAGTCTTTACTCTACAATTAGGCCTGTTTTTCTAAGGCTTCTTCTAAATAAGTCAGTACAGTCTGTTGGTTTATTTACAGCTTTCATCCAACCACGATGGCGATCTTCCTTTTCAACTCTTGGAGATTCCACTGCACGTTTTGTACTTACTCCTTAACAGTAATCATGTTGAAATACTTCAAATAGTCTCTTCTTTCTTAAACTTGAAAAAAGACAAAATTTAAAGATTCCACTCTTGACACCAAATTTTTACGCTGGTCCAATTAAACCAACGACGACCAGTCCATGTTTTGATTTGAATAACTATTTTATTAGCAACTTATACAAAATATTTCACTTTTCCAAATAATACCATACTCAGGCCTATCTACCTAGTTTTAGGCTACATAATCAAGTTGTCTCCCTGACATTGTAATATTAATTAACTAGCTGAAGAGAATATAAGACTCCCAAAACCTTCATTTACTGTGCTATATATCGAACTCTTAATCAAAACTGAAAACTTACAAGAAATTTCTCCAAACGATGCTAATGCGTATAATTTACACCAGATTATACCAAATTACATTGAATGCATTTAGTGCCCTCTCTTCAAAATCTTTAGCAACAATACAAATAATTATAATACATAATTTTTCAACTAACAGTAATTGAGATACATTATTTTAATTGTTCATAACAATATATTTTACCAAGTATAATATATTTGTTGTAGTGCAAAACCACATTGAACTGTGTTCTGTTCACTCTGGGGAAACGAGCCCCAGAATTTAGTATTGTAAGTCACTGAACGTAGTACTAACCCACCAGGGGGCTACTATATGTAAAATTCACCCACAACATGTCTGTATGTGTAACTATGAGATAAAATAATTACTGAAAGAATGTAAATAAGTTTCATGATAAATAATTATGTTATTTGTTTTATCAGAATAGGAAGGAAGACGACCTTTTACATCAGTGTAACTGTAAATCTTGTAGCAGGTGTGATTTCTCTGGTTGTGCCCAGTTTTACTGCTTTTGCTGTTTTTCGATTGTTTCATGGTACAATGTTCCCAGAAATATTCTGTGGATCCTATATTTTAGGTAAGTTTCTCCTGAGTAACACTTGAAACTACCTTTATAGTAAAAGAAAAATGTGTATGCAGAATATTCTTTAAGGTAGTCATAAAATAGTTTTACACGTTTAACCCAGAAAAATCAGTTTTGGCAACTTGACATCTAAGTGTAAAATTGCTTTCATTCTGCTGTAAAAAAATAAGCAAAAACATTACACGTATTCTTCTTTATTTAATTGGATTTTATGTTTATTATATTCTAGTTAATTCATTCTTCATCTCTTTTATAGTAACTGAAAACGTTGGTCAGGAGAAACGAACCCATATTTTGGGCATTGCCAGCATTGGCTGGACAATAAGTATGTGCAGTTTGCCACTCATAGCTTTTGTGTGCAGGGATTGGAGAATTCTTGGTTTTATAACCACTTCCTTCTGCATTCCTTTCTTTTTCTACTGGAGGTACAGTTGTAATAATTATAATATTGTTATACTTTATTTTTCTATGAAATAATTGTCCCATTAATAAATAGTGATAATGCTTAATCTTATATCCCATAAAAGAGGATGTATTTCATGATTTGACCAATTCTATAGATGAAAGTAAGATTTGTTCAGCCGTTAATGTATATTAGACCCTATAACTTGTTCAATGAAACGTAGCCAAGAAACTATAGATTAGGGTACATATACATACGTTTCTTTAGATTTCTCTCAGATGTAAATCACAACATGAAACTACTCAGATGTAAATCACAACATGAAACTACTCAGATGTAAATCACAACATGAAACTACTCAGATGTAAATCACAACATGAAACTATGTTATGAGTGACTACAGTATGCAATTTTCTACAGTGTGAAATTATCAAATTTCATTCAATTTTCCTATCATCGAAAGATGACATCTTGAAGGACAAACTGCATTCGGGCATTAATAGTCAGTGTTAGATACAAAGTTAACGAAGTTGATCTTCAGAAACAGCAGGCAAATTTTTATTCAGCAATATATATATGTATATTTATTTTCAAAGCTACGTTAAACAGAATGTCCAACATTATCCCTATGTTCTATAATACACCTGTACGAGTAAGTATCTGTGCTGTTTCTTACTCAAGAATAAAACCCCAAATTCTAGTATTATAAACTAGAAGTTTCTTGATGAACCAACAGGAGGATAAACAGTTAAAGAATAATCAGAATACCAAATGTTCTAACTTGGAAAAGACAAACCTTATTTTATACAACAGTACCAAGAATTCCCACAACTTGTTTTTATACAAATCAAGCATCTGATGATCCTTCACGTGATCTGATATACAAATAACTGTCTTCAAGTGTACATAGTTTTCTCTTACTCTGATGATCCACTTGCCAACTTGAAATGGCTCAAATACTTGAAAGTGCTTCAAGTTATTCATGAATAATGGCTGGTCTTCAAAGAAGACAGACGTTTCACTCATGTGGAGAGTTACATGACAAAATGAAACACACCCATCATAGTATACTGTTGCTGTAGTTATCACTAGTTTCTCTAGCAGAATGCAGAACAGTTTCTGAATCAGTTAGTCAGTTACAAGAAGCGTATAAAACCAGACGAACATAAGTATCATAAGTATGTAAACGATCGATATATGTCCATTCTATATTATGTTATCGTACATTGTCTATTTTAAACCTGAATTACATATTTGTAACTCTGCAAATAAACTCCTTGCATTGTACTACAATATAACACCAAACGCCAATAACCGAATGAACACATACAATGAGGACATATTCTCGTTACTTCTTATTATTGATCATTACTTTGGTACGTCCTCCTAATAATTTTTTTCCTTCACATTTCAGATTTTTGCCTGAATCTCCACGCTGGTTGGTGTCTGTTGAACGTTATGAAGAGGCAGCAGTTATTCTGACCAGAATTGCAAAGACAAATAAATACCCTGTCCCTACTGATCTACTATTCAAACTAAAGGTGACATCATTTGTTACTTACAGTATTATTCCTAACATTAACAAACTGATATTTTTCAGGAATGATAGCTCACACAATCAAAATGATATAGAGACAAATATTCGACACTCCAGTAAGCTGGAAATCCTTTATTTATCTATGTTGTATGTGAAGTTATTTGTTTCTTTGAAAAATACTTCCATAGTTTTGGTTTCAACAAAATCGAACTCAGTGTGGAAAGGAGGTGTTGTTATCTATGCATTGTAATCCTTCTACCTAGGAGTTACCAAGGTGGGTTTATCACACAATTGTGGGGTCTAAGAAGCACGTTTATAGGTAGATAACGTCGAATATGGTATAAAAGTTTATGTTATTGGCCCATCCAAGGTCCCAGGTGTGCCATGTTTTAAATTCTGTTCATATCTCATTCACAAACTAGCTTCAGCAAACTTATGACACATCCTTGAGTGACAAAGTAAAGTGTGCTAACGTGGTTTCCTTTTGAATTCATATCTTCTTGAGGTAGCTATAAAAGTAATTGTGGATAATGTAGAGACGTAATCGGTTCATAAGGACCTCTGAGAATCACAAGAGAACCTATGAATCCCATGGCAGAGCTGGTTGAGTATAATGCTGTTACCTTTAACTATTGTAGTAAGCTGCAAACAACAGTCTATGGGCACAATAAAGGGATTCATTTCTGGAGAAACACACTTTATGTTTTGCCAGTACATGGGTCTATCGTCTCTTTATGATGCTTATAAATCATAGTTAGCCAACTTATTATATTGCATTATGTGCTTCTTTACTCAAGCACTCATTTAATGTTGTAGCTTGGGTTTAATAGTGATAAAAAAACTGCTGTACTTAACTTTGTAAGAATCTAGTGTAAATTCATTCTTACACAATCAACTCACATTTCATACTACATATTATGAAACGAACTGTTGAATAAGCTGAGATTTTTTTATTGTACAGTTTCGTATCTAGAGACCACGGTTATACAAGATAAAAGATCTGGTTTGGAAATAATGGTGACGCAAATTAAACAAATAGTTTGATTAAATTACCTAAAGTTATGAATGAATTATTTCTGGTATATTTTATATTTGTTCTAGTCTTACTACAAATATCAGATAGTAGTTGGCTATTAATATTTCCTCACTTAAGGTTCGGTTGTAAGCTAGAGGCTATAACACTAACAAAATCAGTATTTTTAAACCCGCTGTGGGCACAGCACAGATAGCCCATTGTGTGGCTTTATGTTTAACCACAAGAAAAACAAACCACGTTCTAATAACGGATTCTCTGAGCCACCATAGAACCACAACAAGCCATAGCAGATTCAATAGAGTCACCCGATGTTGAACAAATGGGAACAGAAGGATGGCTCAATTGCTGTTCAAGTATTTGCAATCAGCAGTATCCAACTTCTTCAAGTGACTCAAAGAAAGACCCCAAGGGGAATGATAACTAGCCAAAGAAGGATGGGATGATTCTGCAATATCATCCAATATGAGACACATTTCAGTCACCTGTGTCTGGATATACGATCTAAGAAAGTTGCAAATGCCTGAAGTAAGGTGAGTTGTAGAAGAGCTAGAGCCCCATAATGACCTAATGCAGGGTCTTTAGTTGAAGTATAAACAAAGTTTATGATACAATTAGATCAAATGGGGTATGATAGATCTTGAGCATAGAACACGTATCCACACCTTAAGAGTTGATATAAAGGCTGCAGAGGATGTTCATTGTCTCTGATCAATTGACGTTTAGCTACTTTATATCTAGAATAGAATTCAGCTTTAAGACCAAGAGAAGTTCCAATAAATTTGACTCAGCCACCACATGAATTGCAGCACATCCTAAATATAGATAGGACTCGGTGTACAATACCCACTGATGATAGAAATGGATGCAAACACTTTTAAATGAAAAAAAATAAAAACATTTGCAGTGGTCTTCCTACACAACCGACTTAAAGCAATTTCAACTCATGTTCAACATATTTGGTATCTAAAGAACAGCTGAAAATTTTAAATTCATTGACATAGAATCTGTCTGCAATTCTGATAAGACATAACTCAGTGACGGTATTAATTTTATTTTTAAAAAAGTGTAACACTCATGCTGCATGTTAACCTGAATTATAATATGAAATGTACGGTTGATTGTACATGGTCTCAGAATAACGTCTCAGCTTAAACAATTATGAATAAAATAGTAAAATGGCCATATATCCCATATACGTGGAAGCCATGATGCTATAATCTTTCTCAAAATAAAAGAGGACAAAAACAAAATGCTCCATCCTGATAAATGCTTCCCTGATTGCATAAGCCATCATTAACAGAACTTTGAAAGACAACTAATTAAAGCAATAGTTCTAGAATTAGAAAGTATCTTGTGATCCTCATCAGAGTTAAAATTTGTAAAGATAATAGTCTGAGACCATACATCCGTAAAAAAGTTCCTCCTCTCCAATCTGGTTATAAACAACCAAAAGAAGATCTAGAGGGCAGGATTGAGATATAATGGCATCTTCTAAGGAATGTCATCTAGTCTGACTGTTGTACTGCCAGACACATTGAGTTCCGAAAAAGTAATGGTTGTTTATAGTTAAACAGATGATTGGGTTGAGAGCAAGGTGGTATTCCTTCAGCCCTTGTCCTGATTGTCATGAAGAGGTGAATATGATTGAATGGTGTAAAATTCTTTTGCCAAGGATTTTAGCAATACCCATAAAAGAGCAATATCTTTACCATCACGTTCTAAGACCTAACGTGGATTGGAAGTAAATTTTCAATTCACCTTTTTAATCTTACCCCAAAAACATTAAAACTGACGGCGGAAGAAACACTGGGAGTGAATTTAATTCAATATTCCTTCTGGCTGAGACATCTGACCTGCTTGGAATGGACTTGAGCCTGTTGAAAGACTATTGGCTAGAAAAAGTAGGATACTTACAGAAAACATTCCACGCCAATTTATGAGCCTTCTGTGCTCGTGGATAAGGATAGTATGTACAATGTGTTAAAGTTTAAGGGCAACTAAGAACACGTACCATATAATACAACCGATTATTACCTCTACACAGATGTTAATGACAGCAAGATCAATCTATCTAAGACAATGGTGAAGGAGGATCAGTTAGCCTTCTCCAACGTCCACTGTTGCACGAGTCCGGTGATACCACCTGTGGAAAACCTCACTCAGAATGATTGATAAGTTATAACTGCCTCGCTAAACAATGGAAAAGAGATCAATGATAGTAAAAGGCTAACTTTTGGCATGAAAATAATAATATATTACTCAGTAATAAAGAGTGAAAGGTTGTAATCTTAGAGCACAGGTCGACTCCTCTCACAAATATCTTTACCATCCCAGAGTAAATTATGCCCATTAAAGTCTTACAGAATGAAGAAGAGGTATTGGAACTGTTTGATATGATAATCAAGTTCTGCCTGATCTAAATCTTCTACTGGTGACAAGCCAAGAGAACATAATGTGGTGGTTTAAGCAATGAAGACCTTGATGGCAACAATGTCCAGTGGTGTATTGAATGACACAATCATGGTCAACCAGCAGTGCTAAATCTATTTGAGCCCATCAAATAACCTGTCTTTCCTGTAAAACTAAAATGACAAATAAATAGCGACAGGATCGCCAGTTTTCAGCAATGTATCCTGTGAGAATGGCGAAAATAAGTCAAGGCCTTGATGTTATCCAAATCAGAATGATATCCTTGACAGTTTCAGTTTGTTGTTTTTATTTGGATAGAGTCTATCAAGTTCACGAATCCTGACCTGGATCAAAGTCGCAACCTCATCCAAACAACGTCATTCTAGTGAATTAGGGAAGTACATAATATAGGTCCTATGAAAGAGCCCAGTGTAATTGGGCCCGTTTACTTACAGTTGGCAGTTATGGAGAATGATATAGGAAAATATTTGATTTTCCCTAAATGAAGAAGACCCTTAATGTGACTACAGAAAGACTGCATGACAGTGAAATACTGCAGCAGAATAAACTCACTTTGGAAGAGGGGTCACCATCGTCGGTGTCTTTGGATAAGGTATGTTGTTAATGGTTTTCACTGGCTATATCTCTTTCTCTTTATTCTATTTAGCACATGACTAACAATTTGAGATTGGATACCTGAAAAGTTGCACTCATTATCATGGTCCTTGTCTCCACAATAAGCACAAGCTAAAAATACCATGGCAAGGCCTTTCTGAGAGTCCAAACCACTGACAGTTAAAACGATGAAGAGGATTAGGAATATAAGACCTGATCATGCATTTCAGATACCCTGCTTTATCATTGTCATTTGGTCTGGATGTTGCAAAAACCCTACTTGGCTCATATATTTCATTCTTTCAAGTGGAAATATGCCTCAGTGCTGAGAAATCGAAGAGACCTATAAGAAGCTTCGACTCAGGGATGTTAAGGATATCACACTTAACTGCAACTTCTCTTGAGAAATACAAAGTATCTTGAGGAACAATTTTAATGGTATATCACCACTACATTTTGACTTCAACAAGAGTTCACTCTCATGTGGTTGTAAGATTTCGACCAACAATTTATTAGTTGACTCCGGAGAGTTGGAAAGTCCAACTAAGCCCTTATGAATAAAAAGGATACTTTTGTGAAAGAGACTTTTCTGATAGAGAGATTAAAATCAGAAAATAAAATACAAGGAGTAAAGTTGATGGCGACAGTGGTCGCTTACTCTTGGTTAGTGTTTTGTTTCAGAATTTTAGTATCCATAAAATGTAAAAAGGCGGTGCCCACTAATCCCACCAACCATGGAATCCAACAAGATGATGTGTTTTACTGTCTTACTAGGAGAATGTAGTAGCATCTGGGTTTGAAGGAACTATACCATAACATCAGTAACAGACATAATGTCCACAACACCCTTTGTGGATGGCTGATACTGGAACTTGAATAATTTCAGCCACAACAAACAAGCCAATTGAAATTGGGGAACCGCCGCAAGTCCGTCCGTCTTCAGGTATTCAAGACCATTATGGTGTATTGAAGTGTCCCAAACACCATATAACCACCAGAAGCTTTTCCTTCCCATCATTGGTCGCCAAATATGGCATTCTGGTGTTTAAATGTTTGAATAACAGAGAAAGTAAACTGTACAGAGAATATGACCTACAATTTTGTAGTTCTGATCATAAAAGGGGATTAATGATAAAGTCCAAGTGAACTGGCTAATTTCAATGCATTAACGAATATAGCTTAACGAATATCCATTTATATGTTTTTGTTAGAACATATATTTAATAAAGAAACATCATAATATTGTTATTGATTCCACAAAAAGAAGATTTTGGGTAAAAATATATAATATATTCTCCACAGGAAGCGTGTAATTAAATGGACTTTGATCACCAGGTAGTGACAGATTAAATTTACCAGGGTTTAACTTTTGTAAAACTTCAATCATTAATACAACACACGTAAAATCTGAAATGTAATATTAAAAGACAAGTTGCGTCCAAATGATGTACATTATTTTTTGAAAAATGTCTGGGAAATCGCTGGAACGACTGTCACCAAACTAGGAATTTAGACTTCGGCCCACTAGCTTAACACATAAAGGAAGTTGACGTTTGCATCTGACCCCTTCCCATATCAGATCCAGGAACCCCTCTATCTTCCCCCTGCATCAAACGTTTACATCAACTAGTTTTCCTAAAATAATGAAATATTCACTTCTTCTTCTTACTCCTATTGAATACATTGTTTGTTATGTGAATAGTTCTGAGTGGATAATAAAACAAAAAATACTATCTTCGTTTGCAGGAAATAGGAAAAAAGAGAGAAAAAAGACACAATATAACGAGTTTTTTCAGTCATCGAAAACTACGGAAACATTTCTTGATTGTTACTTTCATTTGGTAAGTAGATATTTTTGATATTGTTACTTTCATTTGGTAAGTAGATATTTTTGATATTGTTACTTTCTTTGGTAAGTAGATATTTTTGATATTGTTACTTTCATTTGGTAAGTAGATATTTTTGATATTGTTACTTTCATTTGGTAAGTAGATATTTTAGATATATGTTACTTTCATTTGGTAAGTAGATATTTTTGATATTGTTACTTTCATTTGGTAAGTAGATATTTTTGATATTGTTACTTTCTTTTGGTGAGTAGATATTTTTGATACTGTTACTTTCATTTGGTAAGTAGATATGTTAGATATTGTTACTTTCATTTGGTAAGTAGATATTTTTGATTCATTTCATTCACAACACTTAATACATTTCTGAATTATAAACTATATAATAACCTTCAGAAATGTTTGGTCAGCCTGCCTTTGTAGTATAAAGCCAGCCCTTATCATTCAAATATTTATCATGTCTTCCATTACAGTCCAATAAGAAAATTATATCTACTATGTCTGAAGACACAATTCCATAGGCCAAACACACTGTTGGAAAAATGAAGCCATCTTAGCTGAAGGTGACTCCTACCCTGTGAAAAGTTATACAGTTCTATATTGATGTTGTTGTCTTCATGCATAGAGTAGTTATTGAGTAAATGCCCGAGTAGTAAAAGAAAAGGTAGTGAATGATCAGATAAACATGTATGAGTTCTTATTCTGACCTGTTTTGTATAAAAGGGTGTGCTTCTGGTATCCACTTTTTCGAAACAACGATTTGTACTTGGTGTGAAGTCATGCCTCGTCATATGCCAAAGGTTATAGGGTATCAAACTATTTGACTGTCCATAAAAGGTACGAAGCAAATTGTCATCGCCAGAACAGTAGGTTACCATCAGTGTACTGTATTCAAAATCATTGGACTACAAGAAACTTTGAGATGGAATACAAATACACTTAGCACCGTCAAACTGAGAAATTCACGTTATAATAAACGTCTACATATGTAATTTATATAATGAGACAGGTTCTATGGACATCATGAACGATTTATTAGAACAGTAAACAATTTTATCAGACACTTGTAGAAAGATATGACCAACTAAGTACTGAATGTTCAATATGAAATGATATAAAGTTATAGACGCTATTTATAATAATTTGATGTTATATTGTGTCATTATACATGATTCGATGAGGTTTTGTTATGATAGGTGAAATGCTGAACTAGTCAATAGCGTCTTCTACAGCTATCACATGGAGACGATATTTCTGCCATATGCCAGGGCAAGGTTTGACAATGACTTTGTGTTCCAGAATGATAAATCCACTGCCCACAGTGCATGTATTGTTCAGGATTATCTTGACCAGGAAGACATTACAAGATTGTTATGGGCAGCAAAGTCTCCACATTTTAATCCCATTGAGAAATGTTGGGTAGAACTGAGCCAAGAAATTGCCTCATCACCTTGTGAAGGTTATTAGATTTCGAGGGGAATGGCCAGAACCTGCAGAACATGTAGTGCTTAAAGGGGACCCAAGCATAAGGGACGCCCACCTTATGAAGAGTTGCCTGTGAATATGTCAAAGTTTGTGAAAGTGTTATTGGAAAGGATAGATGATATTCACCATCAAGTGCGTTCAAACTTGAAAACGTCTGCTGATTCGATGAAGCTATCTTATGATAAGAGATCTACTGAAGTCAGCCTTGAACCAGAAGACAAGGTGTGGTTGTATAATCCCAGGAAGACCAAAGGGAAGTCTCCTAAGTTGTCTTCTCCATGGGAAAGCCCATATGACATAGTGGATAGTCTCTCAGACGTGACTTTCCGGATAAAATGTGGTCGGCGAGGTAAGCCAAAAGTGGTGCATGCCAACAAACTTTGGCATTATCACGGTCGATGACATTTCAGTTGGGACGAAGTGAACAACAGAACAAATGACGCTGCTGAAGACGTGTCACCTGAAAAAGCCACTGTTGAAGAAGAAACTCTATTCAGTTTTGAGAAGAGAAACGGTGAAGCTCTTGATGATGTTACTACCACTGATGTGACTGTTACCGACGATAGGACATTTCCTGATGAAGCAGATGAACCCCACTTGAAGCAGAAGCCAATGAGATGGAGACCAGTATGGAAGAAGATACGTCCCGTAAAATTAAGAGACTTTGTTGAATTTTGATTTTGTGTTTGTATATTCTGTACATTTAATTAAGTTATTGTTAATTGTTATTGGCATAATATAAGTGGCTATTGTTCGGGACGAACAATACTAAGGAAGGGGCAGTGTTACGACATCGAGGTCACGTGACTAGTATCACGCCACGTCGTTCTCGAACATTCACGTCCTTTCCTTAAATCTCGTGATCCTTCTAGATATAGTGGAGTCTTGTATATATAAGACCGGCCACGAATCGACGGGGAGGTAATGAGTAATTGAATGTATGCGGACAGAATATTGTTGGGCACGTGACACGTGAGTTGTAGCATTGTTATAGAGCGATTGTTGAAATTAAGTGTATATCGTAAAGTTGTATTCGGAAAGAATAAACCAGTTTTATTTAAGAAAGGACTTGTGTCGCTAAAGTTTCTTCGGAACGAATTTACGGAAAATTAGCGAACGAACAGAGACGTAACACTATCTTCTCTGCTACTACTCGGATATTTAATCAATAACTACTCCATGTATGTGGACAATAACATCAATATAGAACAGTATACAAACATTTTGGCCAAGATTGTAAATATAAAGGTAACTCATTGATAATCATTATAAGCTAACTTTCTATGTTTGGTTATTAATATTCTTGTGAAATACGGCGTATTAAACGATAAACTAGAATACTGTATAAAATGTGGAGTGTACAATGCTTGTATATAATATATTTTTATATTTGTAATTCAGAACATAATCCATAATAACATCATTCTAAGCTCGCTTTGTGTATTAGAAAAAAATGTAGAAAAGTGTGCTTATTTCTATTAATATTATACAAAAAAAGAGGAGATTCAACTGGAGTAAAATATTATGAATAAATGTCCTGTTACATTAAACTCCACTTTTTGAAAACTCACGATGAGGATGGTTATATATATTTTTGGTTTCGTATCTGAATAATATTTTTGTTTCTTTCTTTATATCTAATGGGTTTTATTTTGTTCTGATTAATTCTTTAGTGACGGAGAGTGCTACACTTGGTTGGTTCCGCTAGAGTCAGTTGTTTAAAATTTAGGATGGTTATATCTGAATCTGTGGTGTCTGATATCTAAGTAATGTCTGACTAAAATTCATGTTGGAAATTGAATTCCAAGATTAAGCAGTCAAACACCACGACTACCTTATCAGGTTGATGATTGTCTCATGTCTGTTAATAAAACAACTTAGTTTTCAATATTAGTGGTAATTAAACTTGATTTGGGAACTTTCGATTTAGGCTGTTTTTGAGTTTTGTTATTCTTCTTTTATAGTCCAACTACTACAAGGATATTTTTAGAATAGTATTCTTTCCAGAAACTGACTGTAATTAGTTTTAGCAGCCGAACAATCTTGAATATTTATTTTACGTCCTGGTGCAGAAGTAAACCATTATAATTTATAATAACTTAACTACTTCTAAATGTTGTTTGGAACTAATTAGAGAATACAGTAAATAATTCAACGTTAAAACTAAACATAATCACTTGGAATATCTATTTACAGTTTGTTTGTTTATTGTTAAGCACAAAGCTGCACACTGGGCTATCGGTGCTGTGAACAACACGGGTATTAAAACCCGGTTTATAGTGGTATGAGCCTTCAGACTTACCACTGAGCCACTGGGGTGGGCTCTGTTTATATAAATAATTTTTAGAAAATAAGACGAAAAAAAATATCAATTTCGTGCATATTTTGTAATTTTCTGTATCGAAAATTTGAATGTTGTGTTGGTTTGTTAAAGTAATGTAGCCTTCCTGTTGCTCAACAATTAAACTGGGGTCTTATAGCGCAAAATTCGGGTTTTGATGCCTGCGGTGGCCCATTGTACAACAAACAAACAAAAAATACTAAATTTACGCGAGAGTATACAATAAATTCAGAAGTGAGGATTTAATAGATGAAGTTATGTTGAGGAGTCGAAGAAACAATAAACAAATTAAACCTACTTACTTGGAGGAAAAGCTAAAGGTATTAGGATACAAACGGCAGTTAACAACACGAAGCTCACATTAGTCCACCTACGCCCAAACTTTTCCATCAGATACCAAGATACAAAATTGGATGGTAGCTCAACAAGCCCAAGAAGAAAGAAGTTTAAAAATTCGTTCCCATATAAATTGGTTACATTGATGTTTAAGCCATAATAACCCATGGAACAAGAAGACCTATAAGAAAAGGTGAGTCAAGGTATGACCTATTAAAGTAAATTAAACTCATATACGATGTGTGTATTTAATTATTGGTTAAAACTATCAAATTATTTTTAAAACTGAATACAAGGATTGACGTCTCTCCTGCAGAGGCTCATGGCATTGTAATATTAAAAGGATTTGGATGTGCAAATCAGTGAGTCACGCGACTGTCGATATAAAGTTGTGGTGGAAAGTCAGTCATTAGCCATTTTGATATTGTTTGATGTTTTATAAGTAGTGCGATGCTACCAAAAATTGAGAAATTTAAGGGAGTTTATATAAAAACACTTTACGATGCAATATATATATATATACACTACAGTCATAAAGATGTGTTGAGATTAGGATTTAGAATTTCTAAGATGAGGATATCCTTTGTTCTTAATGAAACAGGTTCTGGAAAACCTTCATCATGGTGCGTTAGATGTATTGTGGAAAGCGAGGAAGAGTGGTATGCTTTGGACAGCCTTAAGACGGAGGCTCATGCAATAGAAATTACGCTACAGGGATATTATCAAGATGCACGGTTGTCTGACAGTGCATGACAGGACATGACATTGACTGCAAAACTGCAGTAATTCCAGAGTCATTCTAATACAACACATTCAACTTCTGTATAACACGTCACACTTTGATGTTTTCAATGATTAGTCCACGCACTATTAACTAGACCAATCACAGTTCAGCGTTCTTCTGCTACGCCATTATCTGCATGGACTTTTACTAAAAAGGACTGAACTCTAACTAGATCAGCTTCAATGACAGAGATAGAAAATATGCTAAAGTTGAAGTCCCCTAAGTTGTACTTAGATGTTTGATTTTATTTTATGTTTATATATATATATATATATATTAGGTACATTTTATTAAAGTATGTTAAAATTATATGAAACTATTCAGATATTATGCTCATGTCATACTAATCCTGTGAATGATATGGCCATTCCCTGTAAAATCTGTAACAAGTAGTGACAAATATTGTTTCAGTAACGATTTACCTTATTATTTAATTTCTGTAGTGCATATTGATGTATAGAAGACATATTAATACTAGAAATAAACGACCTTATAACACCAAAATGTTGTTTTTATTCAATTAGACACTCAAGGTTTCACTTTTCAGCTTCTTCAGGAGCGTTCACTAAAACACAAACCGAAACTGACAGTTCAAAGCTTCAAAACATTATTGTTTTAGTGAACGTTTCCGAAGAAGCTGTAAAGCGAACTGTTGAGTGGTTAGTTAAATAAAAACAACATCTTGGTGTTATAAGGTCGTTTATTTTTTGTCTTAAAGACTTACCTAACCAGAGAGGAACGACGACAATAATGGCTGATGTTGTTCCAATCCCTATAGCCCTAACAGGAGTTGGGTAGAGTTCTGCAGCCTGTTGGATGACAATCATAAATGCAGCAGTACAGCTAAATTTTCCCAAAAGAGATCCCACGGTTGTTCCAACTGTTTGGAAAATAATGAACTAAAAATCAAAAAACGAACATACTAATCCTGTGAATAATATGGCCATTCTCTGTAAAATATGTACAAAGTAGTGACAAATATTGTTTCAATAAAGATTTAACTTATTACAATGTCACATGTTAGATATTCACGTGAACACTTAAAAAAGTCAAGTTAAAATCAACTGAAACAAAAAGAAAAGATACTGATATTACCAGATAGATAATGTAAGGAGTAAAAAGTATAACTACGCATGCTTTCAAAGTAATTTATCTAATGTTGAATATTGTTTAAAGTAATTTATCTAATATTGAATATTGTTCAAAGTAATTTATCTAATGTTGAATATTGTTTAAAGTAATTTATCTGATATTGAATATTGTTCAAAGTAATTTATCTAATGTTGAATATTGTTTAAAGTAATTTATCTAATATTGAATATTGTTCAAAGTAATTTATCTAATATTCAATATTGTTCCAAGTAATTTATCTAATGTTAAATATTGTTTAAAGTAATTTATCTAATATTGAATATTGTTCAAAGTAATTTATCTAATATTGAATATTGTTCAAAGTATTTCTTCTAATGTTGAATATTGTATGAAGTAATTTATCTAATATGGAATATTGTTTAAAGTAATTATCTAATATTGAATATTGTTCAAAGTAATTTATCTAATATTCAATATTGTTTAAGGTAATTTATCTAATATTGAATATTTTTCAAAGTAATTTATCTAATACTGAATATTGTTCAAAGTATTTCTTCTAATGTTGAATATTGTATGAAGTAATTTATCTAATATGGAATATTGTTTAAAGTAATTTATCTAATATTGAATATTGTTCAAAGTAATTTATCTAATATGGAATATTGTTCAAAGTAATTTATCTAATATTGAATATTGTTCAAAGTATTTTTTCTAATATTGAATATTGTTCAAAGTAATTAAACTAATGTTGAATATTGTTTAAAGTAATTTATCTAATATTGAATATTGTTCAAAGTAATTTATCTAATGTTGAATATTGTTTAAAGTAATTTATCTAATATTGAATATTGTTCAAAGTAATTTATCTAATATTGAATATTGCTCAAAGTATTTTTTTCTAATATTGAATATTGTTTAAAGTAATTTATCTAATATGAAATATTGTTTAAAGTAATTTATCTAATACGGAATATTGTTCAAAGTAATTTATCTAATATGGAATATTGTTCAAAGTAATTTATCTAATGTTGAATATTGTTTAAAGTAATTTATCTAATATGGAATATTGTTTAAAGTAATTTGTCTAATATTGAATATTGTTTAAACTAATTTATCTAATATTGAATATTGTTCAAAATAATTTATCTAATGTTGAATATTGTTTAAAGTAATTTATTTAATATGGAATATTGTTTAAAGTAATTTATCTAATATTAAATATTGTTCAAAGTAATTTATCTAATGTTGAATATTGTTCCAAGTAATTTATCTAATATTGAATATTGTTTAAAGTAGTTTATCTAATATTAAATA